GAAATTTTATAAGTGACAAACTTTAGAGCAATAGAAATGAAGATTCAATGACTGATGATACACTTGTATTTATATTGAAATTAATTTACGATGTGCACAGCGACTGTGTTACACCAGATGGTATAAACTAAAAGAAGTCACAGGCAGGAACCTCAAGCAGAGCCAGGCTCAGTGGACAACAATCAGCAGTTTTTCATTTAACAATTGTGCCGCTTGTTTTGTATCATAAATCTTTATTAGATCACAAAAAGCTGCCGGATTTGAAGGACAAAGAGGATCTTTTTAGTACCGTGTAGATTATGGACCACTCAAATCAACATTGTTGTTTATTATTCTGCCTTTCAATCAAACAAAGGATATATCGAAGAAAAAACAAGAATTCCTGAACTGAATCTTTAAATCTGTGGACTTCCTCTCTGATCTGCTTGTATAAAACTAATTCTCTGGTCCAAGTTCAGTCTGGTGTCCGAACACATCCTTTGACTCATCACTCTGTTGGCTGATGCCTCTGCGAAGTCCTTCAGCTCTGGACCTCTGCCCGTCAGCTGTACAGAGAGAGACTGTGCTGTGACTTCAGTGATATTGAGGGAGACTGTGTCTGGCACAAGATAGTGATATGTCTCATCCCTGCAGCCCAGCTGTACCTACATTTGAGTTTTAACCTTGAATCAAACCATGTCCATTTATATCATACAGGAAGGACACTTTCCAGTGCTGATTCTGTGGCAGACTGTGAAGCTGAATGTCAGTCCTGTCAGTGAGATTGAAAGTCTATTCCTTACCTGGATAAAAATAAATAAATAAATATGGTGACATTGCTTCAGCAGCGACAGAAATGTGTTGAAGAAAGCAGTGCCAATTTTCTGTTTGAATCATGTTCACATACATAATTTTCTTATTTAACTTCTTGTTCCTTAAGTACGTCATTGGAAATATCATACAGTCTGTCCTGATGTGTCCCGTAGTGTGTCTGAGGCTTTCACTATTATTTTAAGAAACCCTAGAAGTTGCTACTCTGATCCTCCTTTAAATAATATCCCATTTTTGTCTGATCACATGTGCACCACCCAATATCCTTCTGACCACCTCATGAGTAAATTGACAGACGCATGCCCACAGTCTGTAATTAACATACTCTATTCAAGGGTAGTAGTTTGGCATATCCAAGGATCAGTGAGAAAACACCCACAGATTGTCGAATTTCATAGCCATGGATATCGAGGTAATTGTGCCAGAGGTGAAGGGAGAAAAACCCACACTTTTAGAGTGTCAACAGGAGTCACAATAATGAATAAAAAGTCTGGGCTTCTGTCACTAAGGCTGTGAATGCTGCTGGGTCCCCAGAGGTTTGCGCTTTGGCTTGGGTAAAAGGAAATAGGCTGACATTAGAAGAAGGGGCCAAAAAAGAAGAGCCGACTATAAGAAAGGGGAAGGAAGCTGAAGGAAGACAAGGACCATCAGGTCCTCCACTAAAGGATAGGCCACAGTTATTTGAAAGTCATCCATATCAGGAGTGTGTTGACAACAAAGGTTTGTGGACATGCACTGTGTGAGAATGAGGCCCATTGTTTTTCCATTGTTTACATTAAAACCACCACCAGGCCTTTATTTACAAAAAGAGGGCATACTTTAATCCAAACTGAAGGTACTGCATCACAATCCTCTCTTTTACTGGCTGAGACTTTGGGACCAGTCCAAGCATATTTTCTTGCTGATACCACATTATATTGTCTCTCATAGGCCAGACCCCCCCAATTCAACCAGAGCACAGCTGGCAGGGCTCACTTCTTAAATGATGCCTGGGATATCCTTGATATCCTAGATATCCTTGTCTACTGGACAACAGTTACCAATCAGTGCCTCATCAGAGTCTGCAACTGACTGACTAAAAATGATGGTTGAGCTTGAAGATGTAGTTTTCAAAGAGACATCAGTCATAGATTGGGCTGGGAGAAGAGACATCTGACATGATTTTGCAGAAAAACTTGGAGAAGCTTAACATACAAAATCAATAGACTTCCTAAGTCACAAATATCTTAATATGATGCATGAATTTAATTCCCAAATTTAGGCAAACAGCCATCAGAAAAATCAATCTAGGGTGACCATATTCTGACTTCCCAAAAAGAGGACTCGACTACGTGGCGGAGTCACAGTCGCACAAAGTTAACTCTGTGTTTTCTGGTCAGATTGAGTGTCTTTCACGCGCCTCTAACTTGGTAAGTCCACGTGACACAAAATTAAAACTTTTACGAGTTAGTTTGCAGAGTTCAGTACAATTGGTGCTAACAGCAGCTGTTCATAGTCAGGTTGATGGTCAGTTTGTTCCCCTTGTTTAGCCTTTGGAGGAAAGGGGTCAGAAATTCAGATAGTCAATGGTTTGAACCGAGTGTGAAACAGAGAGTCAGTATGAGTTATTGTTGTAACACATAAGCCTTATGACCATGGACATATATCGGCATGTGCGAAATCACAAAACAGACCTTGAAATGAATGCTGAAGGGTGTCTGAAAATAGCAGCTGAACAGACAGCCAAGACGCCAAATTGGAGACATGACAAAGTGTTGGTATTTAAGAACAGGAAAAAGGAATGTGTTTGACAGCCAATGGGATTTGCATGCTCGAGTGTGCATAACTATCAAGGAGACACTTTACAACAAGGCTAATCAATGACACTTTAAACCAGGCCAGATTTGAAACATTGGACTTCTTTGGGGGTTCACATAAAAAAAACTCTGATGGTGACACATCTGGCAGAAGCACATTTAGGGGCACAAATATGATAAAACTATAAAACCTATCAACTCTACCAGAACACAAGACCACAACAAGATATCATGAGTACTGCACATGTGCAACTCTTTGTTTGAGATGGGCATTAAGTAAATTGGCTCACTTGCAAGCTATATTAGCACACACTGTATATGGTTCATTAATTTATACATATATATTTAAAGATTTGGCCCAAGGACTGCGAAGAAACTACTGAGAGTTATTTTGGGAAATTGCCCTGAACTCTTTCTCCAATCACCATAAAACCCGTCCACTTTGAAATCCACCATAGAGATAACTTGGCACAGCATCTCATGACCAAACAGACAAAAAATACATGCACTGCATATCTGCTAAGCCCATAAAATAAGCACAGTGCTATTGCAAACTTTAAATGCTAGTACACTTAATACAAATACGTCAGCCAATTTTTTTTTTTGTGTTGGATGAGTAAAACATTAAAAGTCCTGAATGTTTGACTCACGTATAGAACATATATGCTGCTGTCAACTCTATCTATCCTCAAACATCAGGCTGAAGTATCCAAAGAAATTTTAAACACCGTTTGACTTCTTTAGTTATTTCAAAACTGTCTTTCCTCTCAGATCATTGAATTCTTAAGTGTAGATACTCTTTCCGATATGTATCATATTTGCAGCTTCATGACACAACCTCACCCTGATACCATCTCACCTCTCAGTATCAACAGTCCACACAGATATCAGTGTGTCACTGGTTGGCCTAGTTAGACAGCAGATGGCACGGGACGTCCTGTAGCTGGAGGGGAGCTGACACTGAGTCTGCTTAGACAAACAGCAGCCAGCAGGATCCTGCCGAGAGGGTCAGCATGTGAGACACTGAGGCATCACGAGTACATGTGTACATTAGATCAACCCAAAGCACAGATCATTAGACGCAAATGCATAAATGGAGACCTTAAAATGTACTGGAGCTGCCCACAGATTAACATTTTTGATTATAATTAACTGCTCAGTTTATTGCAATTAAGTATATTTTTAGTCATGTTTAAGTTTCCTTCATTTAGCATTTCTAAACTTGAAATAACAAGGTGAGGCAGTTCCTATCAGCATTTTTCCTATTCTCTCTATTCCTATTTTTTTTTTTTTTTTAAAGCAGATTAAGTCTGTTTCCTTTGGCCTGTTCTGATATGTGTACAATTAAATGACACTTGGGATGCTAACCCCAAACATACAAAACAGTTTGCAAGTAGCATCACAATTTGCTGCTGACATCTTTTGAAGGTCAACATCTTTTCAAGTGCATCAGATTTCAGATCTATCACATCATTAAACTAAAATACAATCCAAACTTTTTAAAAATCAAAGTGCAACTCCAAGAACAAAGAAAGGGGCTACACCGTTTCAGCTGATGAAACTACAGTACGGATAGATGCAACAACTCTTATTAGTTTATCTGCTGCCATTTTGGGGCATCACCATTTTGCCTTTAGGCTGCTGCCATGCAGATTTTTGGAGGCCAGAAATGACTGGATATGTTTGCCAGAGCTGCCAGAGAACATGGCCCTGGAGAGTAATAAGGGGTTGAGTCACTGAAGGTCTACAGTCCACACCGATGACTAATTCATTAGCTCACTAGCTAACAAAGAGATTGTTGCTACCATGTTTTCTCCATGTGGTGGTAGCTGATCAAAGTCATTTATGTGTTGGATCATAGATGCTAGGAAAGCGTTAAGAGCAAATATAGACTTGATTTTCGGCGCTGGGGGCTGGATCAGACAGTTTGAAGGATGGGAAACAGTTGGGAGGTGAATCACTTCTCTCCTGTCATATGAACAGCAGTGACAAGATTGTTACAATGACAGATGGATGGACAAAGAACTGCTGACAAATAGTTTTTTAGTCCAGGCATACTCGTATCTTAGTTTAGATCCTTTTTAAATTTGTTCACAAATAATTTGACAGTGTGGACACTGACAATCAGGCGTAATATGTATTTACAGCTCATATCCCAAGATATGCAGCTCACACTGCTATAAACTGGCATTACCAGGCAACACTGCAGCAGAGGTTTGGGATCCTGAAATCAGAGTGTTGTTATGTGTATCTGTGCTGCTTCATGACAGACAAGTGATATCATCAAAGAGGTCATAAGTAGATTTAGATGAAAGTTAAATAAAGAAAAGATAACTGCTGCATTATACCAGAGGGGTGATGTATGTTTTATTAATAAGCTAACTAACCATATATGTGTATTACAGTGTGTGTGTGTGTGTGTGTGTGTGTGTGTGTGTGTGTGTGTGTGTGTGTGTGTGTGTGTGTGTGTGTGTGTGTGTGTGTGTGTGTGTGTGGAGAGAGAGGGAGAGAGAAGTAGAGATAATGAGCTCTTTCTGAGTGTGACTTCATGTGACATTAACTGCATTAGATTTTACCCCCTTTCGTGCACCTACCTTCCCATAAGTGTGTGTGTGTTTGTTTGTTTTAGTGTGTATTTGTGATCACTTTTACAGCAAAAGCTCACCCTGCACATTTTGTCACCTAATCTTTTGTCACATCTCTTTTTGCTTCTCTGAAACAGTATGAGGAACTGACTCAGGCTATAGGTAGGGAAGTGATGTTGTGTTTGCTGTGTGCTCGTGTTTCCCACACATAAAACAGTCGCTTAATCTGCGGCCCTTAATTTATCATCAAATGACGATGTAGGTTCACTTCATGCATCAGTTTGCTTAAAGAAATCTACGTCAGGACAACAACTATCTGCAACATGTGTTTCCAGAATAAAGAAAATAATAAAGAAGGTAAGAAAAAATAGCCTCTGATGTGCATGAATGTGGCTTAAATGGGCAAATGTGATGTGATGCAAAAATCAGTATGAATAGTTGTAAGAAGAGCAAAGCAAGAAGCTGGAGCACACTAAAATTTATATATATATATATATATATTTTTTTTTTATTATTAATTTTTGAGCTTCATGCCTTATTTGAAAAAGTATAGAACAGTGAGGTGCTCCAGGGTGGAATATAACCCTGGTTGCCCACCTTGAAGACTAAAGCATCTGTTTATGGGGCTCATGGTTGAACCACTTGGCCAAACAAATGTTTCAGTTTCAAAATCATTCACTGAGGTTTTTTTTTTACAGTATTATGGTTCAGGTTTGAATAAATACAAATGAATGTGTGGTACAGTACTGACCTTGCTAAGATACCTTTTCAAAATAGTCAACACAGGCTACTTGTTTAACAATTTACACCTTTGTCCCCTATATTAAAATAAGATGATTTCCCCACCTGAATTTCCCCACAGTCACCAAAATTTCCTTTGTTTGTATCATCATGAGTTGATCAAAACACCAGTGTCAAATGATAACTCAGCATGGTATCATCAATTCTGAACATTTTAGTGTGCTCGGCCACCAATAAAAATGACATGTTTCAATTTGGGGTGAATTCAACATAGTCTCCATCATATTATACATCTACAAAACTTACAATATGTGATTCATGGTGTACTGCCCAATGAAATAGCAAGATGTGCACATTCACATCAATTAAGTGTCAGATCATGAGCAAGAAATACCAGTGGAACATTGAACTTTCTATGGAAAAAAATATATCTGAAATGGTTTTTAGTAGGGTCTATCACAGTCAGAAGTATACTTGTCCAATTTCAGTTCCATCAAGGCTGAACCCAGTTGTCTAAACTTCAGCATTCTGGCAGTAATACCAGTCTCCTCTGTGCAAGTATAAATGTTGGCCTGCAAGACTTCCTACAAACAGGCAGAAACCCTGAGCAGACCAAGACTCAATGACAGACTGACATCTGCCACCTGGTAAAATGGAACAGAAGGAGAGATGGACAGTTAGATGTACATGGTCAGATAGACAGAGAGGGAGCCATATTTGACTGCAGCAAAGGGACAATAGGAACTTAAAGGAGACACAAACCCTTGGTTGCCCACCGGCTGAGTGGCTGAGTGGCCTAAATCTTTCACCCTCACTGTGAGAAACATGTCTAAGATTTATCACGAATGAAACATCATAGTTGCCTCAAGCGTACTTGGATTGGTTCCACAGATCGTCTCCTCCAGGGTGGGCTTCAATTGTACATATTAGGAGTGTGATAGCAATGATGAGGATGTATTACAGGGCAGTCGACTCAGCACATGATTCGGTGATGGCCGCCATTTGTGGGAATGCCGTGATCGTGTTCTGAGCCAGCTACTTGAAGCTGGCGACACACGGAGATGCCAGAAGAGTGAGTGCATGGCTTCAGTTGGGCTGCAGGTCAGAGGTCGGTCTCATTCAACAGGGTGTGGAGGTTCAGGGGGTAGAGTATACAGTGCATATATGAGCCTGCCATGTGTGTGATTTTTGATACTGTTATGTAAATGTGTGGGGAAACAGCATGGGTCAACAGGCCTTTGAGGACATTTTGAAAACATAATACAATCACTGGCACATTTTAAGAGGTTCGACTTGCTTTAAAAGTTACCTCTGTTCATGGTGGATTTTTGCACAATTTTGTCACCTATCATTTACTTTACATGGAGACACACTCCCAAAAAATGTAGCAGAAAATCAACATATGCATACACCCACCCACCCACCCACCCACGCATGCACGCACGTACACAAGTACACACACACACACACACACAGACCAGAGTGATCTGTCAGTCTTCAGGATAAATGGCATCTGGGTGTGTTGGTGACAGCTCATTCCAGACATCATGGTGGAGACTGTGTTGTACAGTAAGACGATCTGTCAGCTTCTCCCCTCCTGTTGAGTCACCTTACATATATGGATTACTGTCAGTGGGCATGAAGTCATTTCGTCATTTTGTCATGACTTGTGTAATAAAAAACTTTACTTAATTAAACACATATTTACTGTATTATGTTACGTTTATCTGGTCTTGCAGTTGTTCCGAGTGTTGAGATAAAAATCCATTTCTAAGTCATCTTGATGCTCCAGACTCAATTGAAGAAATATGTGAAGATCAAATAAATACATCAACTCGAACCTACTGAGTCTTTATTAGCTTGTAAAGCAGTTGTGCACAAATATACTGTATATTTAGTGTCCCCATATCTGCAGATAGGAAGACTAATTTTAATTCGAATTAATTTTAAGGCATGTGGTTAAGATCTATTTTTGTTCTGATCATAGCCTGTTTACAACATGGACCTATTTTCAGTGTCCACCTACTGGTTTCTGACGAGGCATTGAGTAACTAAATGATGGTGGCATCAGACTGGAAATGCTGACTCAACCTAACTTTAAGTCTACCTAAAAACAGGTAAAGACAGTTTGTGTTTGGCCCTTTTATAGATAATGAAGTAAATATCCCTTATAGAGTGGCACCAGACGGAGAAAGGTTATTCAGACAAACACTGATTTGAATGTGTTTAATTCTGCTGCAAATTTAAGGCATTGAAAATAAGACTGCCTCAAGTGGACACTCATAAAACAGAAGTTTATTTATTTATTGCCTTATCTTTCCACACCAGAAGTTGCCGCTTAGTTCTCATAGATTTTTTTTAAGGGAAATGAGTTCAGTGTTGCACAGCCATGCCATTTCATGCATTCTCCTTTTCTATGCGTATTTTTAAACAAAACTCTTCAATGTCTAGTATCACATCACCACCATTTCTATGCAGTTCCTGAATATGTGTCCTCTATGAGCAATGCCTTTAAAAGTTGTTGGCGTTTACTGTCTCTCAGGAGCTGCTATCTGTCCTATATGAATTATGCAAAAGCGCCACTCTGTATTCTGCTTCAGCTTAATAGAAGCGTCTGCAGGATGATTTAAAGTTGAAAGAGCGACTCTCTCCTGGCAAGTTCAAAATGTGAATAAAAGAAGCTTGTGGCAGATTCAATAAGCTGTCCTTGCAAAATGTAAATGAGTCTGGCATGTGAACCTGCTGATTTCATAACATCATATTCTGATACAAAAAAAAAAATCTTTGTCACAGTATCTCTGTTAACGTTTAATTAGTTATTTCTTACTCTTATAATATTATATTTTACAACAAGTACATAGGGTTTATTTCGGGGAACTATAGGTTTTCCAAGTCTTTTATCATAAAATCAATACAAACCAATACCACGTAGAAAATATCTGCACTGGAAAGAAAATTACATATCAATAATGAGTCAGTATATTATAATGTAAAGTTATTTAAAGAGGATATGAGGATGTACATAACATCAAATAGTTTGCAATTGACCATGGGTTTTGTCAGTTTTCATTACAACCACAACCAATACTGCAATCAATCACGATATGTAGATTAGATGACTTTGCCTTTACTGCCAGACCCTCAGCGCTAGACTCTGTAATTTTAAAAGTCACGGACCAAATTGAAACCTCTTTGTGGCTCTGAAATGATACAGAACATTGTGTTTGAATCCCAATATAATTCAGACATGAAAAACATGCAACAGGTTGCAAGCAAAAATATATTCACAGCTTGACAGTCATCGGTATGTGGAGAAGCATGTGTGTGTGTGTGTGTGTGTGTGTGTGTGTGTGTGTGTGTGTGTGTGTGTGTGTGTGTGTGTGTGTGTGTGTGTGTGTGTGTGTGTGTGTGTGTGTGTGTGTGTGTGTGTGTGTGTGTATTTGTCACTGAGTCACAGGTGTTTCTCAGAAATAGAAAGATGACATAATGCTCTGACAGGCAGCCTGATGACACAGAGGCTTGTGTGTAGGTGTGTGTGCATGTGTGTGAATGTGTGACTGAGGAGAGGGCTGGCAGTAATCAAGCTCATATGTAATCTATACGTGAGAATTATGGGATGATTTGTATGTATATGTATAAGTGTCTGTGTAAGTGTGTGCACTGTTGTCTGAGAGTGTTTGTGTGTGTTTGTGTGAGACTGATTTATTGCAGCAGGTGTGTGACAGCATGTCGTATATATGTAAAATATGCTGTTACTTTCACATTTAATTTTGCCTGAAGACATCATTGTGTGTGTGTGTGTGTGTGTGTGTGTGTGTGTGTGTGTGTGTGTGTGTGTGTGTGTGTGTGTGTGTGTGTGTGTGTGTGTGTGTGTGTGCGCGCGCATGCTGGATGTGTTGTTAAATTAGATTTCCGAGATTGTTTTCCGAGATTGAATACAGTAGAAAACAAAATAATTTCTTTGCAGTTTCTTTTTTGCCTTCATTCTCAAAAAAATGTTTTCAAGTCAGTTTCATTTGTAAGCCTTCACCCTGAATTCTCAGTGATATGAAAAGTTGTCTGATTTTTTTCTCAAGGTCACTTTTCATTAAAGCAGTGATTCTGCTGTATCATACTGCCATCAGAGCTGTCTCTTATTACGATAATGAACAAACATTGTGTGCTCTACAGAGCCTTTTTGGTCCAACATCACAGTGAAGTCATAGTATTTGCTAGAGGCAAAAACAAATCCTCTCCACAAGGTTGTCGATGTCATTGAAGTCATGAAGTCTCATTCTGTTGTGTTGTTGGTGCCAGAATAAAACAGTCATATTGATGTTTTAACTCTGAAATTCTGCTGAATACCATACGCCAATATGAAGATAGCTTT